TCCTACCCCTCCCACCCCCCCCCCCCCCGCTTCAGACGAAAAAGTCCTGAAGGGGGCTACAGGAAAAAATATTTTCGCGTGATAAAAAATTTTTTGTGCCATGGCGGGCCCCCCCTTATGAAGTTGGGCCCCCCCTTGAAAAATTTCTGCGTACGCCACTGACTTGCACAATCAATTAATCTCATTATGAATTTGTTTTATGCAATAAAATTTCGATATCTTGAGAATAAACGTTCGGAAAACGAAATCATTTTTATATAAATATTATGCAATTAATCAAATTCATTTTTTTAGTTGCACCGCCAAACTCAATAGCTAATCTTTTGCCAAATCTTTCATTAAATTTTAATTTACCTCCACCTCCAACATCCTTTCCATTGGGTCAACTAATAGCAAATGCTTTAACACTTGGTATACCACCACCACCAACTGCCAGTAAGTAAACACTACAAAATCGAAACAAAATACTAGTATTATTATGTTTTTCTTGTTTAGATGCTTCTATGTTTCAAACATCACCGGCTACGTTTACAACACCACCACCAAATTTATCTAATACAATAGTTAATTCAGTTTCATCATCGTCAATGAATTCAAAACCACCATCTGTTCGTTTTGTTTCTGCTATTGGCCAACAAATACGACCGAATCTAACAAACAATAATAATAATAATATTATTAATAATAATAATAATAATAATGAACATCAAATTTCATCTTCTCGTGAGAACAGTAGAGAACATAATTTTCGACGAGGTCCACCAAATAATAATCGTCGAGATTATTATCAAAATCGAAATAATAATAATAATAATAATAATAATAATAATAATAATAATAACAATCGAAACATATTCTCTTAGACAAAAAAAAAAAAAGTATCAAGATAAGAATTTGGATTAGCACCTTATTTCAAGAAAAAAAGAAACCATCCTGGTGGTCAATCCTGTGATATAATCTGAATAAAATAAAATAAGAAAAAGACTCATGTTCTAACTGCACATATCTTGTGTGATAAGTCTTATTTGTTTTTTTTCTTCTCTTTCGTGTGTAGACTAGCCGGCTAAGGTATGTCTATTTATGAAATATGTATGTTGGTTTGATTTTATTCATTCCTTATTTCATTATCTTTTTTTTTCTTTTTTTTTTTTTTTGTTGATTATTCTGTTCTTGCGCTTATATATTCTCACTACAACCTATATATATATATATATACATATACATATTATCCGTCTTTGTCATTCTTGATCGTTGATTATTTCAAATTATGTTTCAAATTGTTAGAAAGAAAAAAAAAAGAAAGGAAAACTCAGTATTTTGATTGTTTGTTTTTTTTTGTACATTTTGCAAGAAAAAAAAAAACATGAATAACTCTTTTGGATGATGAGAAAATATAAAGATTGACATGATGGAACATCTTTGTTTTTTCCTTTTTTTTTGTTTAATTATGTCTTTTATATTCTAGATATATTTAGAATAATATATTAATACAAGTAGTAATAGTCATAAAATGTCAAGGTATAAAAAATAATTTTATTCAGTTTAATATTATATTTTTATTGTTTTGGATTAGATACGTTAAACAATTGGCATGTCGATTCCATCCGGAAGCAACATTAGTTGAAGATTATCGTGCTGGTGATATGGTTTGTCCAGAATGTGGATTGGTTGTTGGCGATCGGTATGATATATACGCGCAGAAAATTAATATTCATAAATTATAGTAAACACGATAGATCTTTACTTGAGAAATATGGAATTTCAAAATTAAAGTTAAATGGTACTAGAATTTAGTCAAATACATGTTTAATATTCACAGATTCTTTACTAAAATATTTTCAGAATACAAACAAAAAGGTAGGTTGCTAGAATTCCGAGGTGCAGAATCTACCCGCATGCGCGCACGGTCGTTTGGGGAAATCTTTTGATTCTTAGGAGCGTTTTGAGGAAATAGCTGGAGAAAATAAACCCTCGTGCGGAGAAATTTTTTAAAAATCACGGCAGATTCTGTACCTCTGCTAGATTTAGAGAAAAATGCGAAAGGTAATTAAGCTCGTTAACGTATCAGTAGAAAAATTACAATAGATAGGTTTTGTAATGAAGCTTAGAGTGGATGTAGGATGATATATTTATGAAAGATATGAATAAATTCTGGAATAGATTTTTCTAGATCGGGATTACTACTCAAAAAACTGAAATTGGGTTTACACAGAAAAGAATTTGTCACAATCGAATCGCGACTGGTAGATCAAAAAAACTTGGTCCCACACATCTCTAATGTGAATATTCACATCTTCAAAGAATCTTCCGGTTAACTATATATGAATAGTCAGTATACATTAATAATGATGCGTATTAAGAGGTTTTTGATATAGTAACTAACCTAGTTGGTTTCCATGAAGTTATTGTGTTAGTCTATGTGGCGTTGAATACAACTTATCATTATATTAGAGAATCATCAGTTTGACAAATGTTAGAAGATAAAAATTAATCAGTTTATGACGATGATTATTCTCTCATAAGAAATTAATTTATAATATCATTAGATTTTATTATTTTATTGAAAATTCTTATACAAATTTTTATAGTAAGAAAAAATTTATATTAATTTCATTTGTTCTGAAGACTTGTACAAAGAGAATCAATTCATTTTGATCAATAAAACTTGAAAAATGTTTGTACTCATCATTTTTTTCTTTTAAATATGTTCAATGATTTTACTAATAGTTCAAGAAGTATTAGAATTCTGTATACATATAATTTCCATCACCGGATCGGATAATTAATGTTACAAGGGCTTAGCTACCCCTGATTATACTTGAAAAGCAGGCAAAAATTCTCCATCGATACACTTAAGAAGAATTCAACTATTTGTAGGAGAGCACTGAACTGCTCTAGATTCCATCTAATTATACCACTACAGATACATTTGACTTCCAAGATTCTAATAACAAAGAATAAACGTCAATTATTCATTATATTTCTATTCGTATTGTGATGTTAAATGATTATTTAAAATTTTTCTTTAGAATGGTGGATGTTGGTTCTGAATGGCGTACATTTTCGAATGATAAAGATTCAAAAGATATGAGTCGTGTCGGAGCTGCAGAAAATCCTCTATTTGATGGTGATACCCTTGAAACTGTTATGTCATTAGGAACAGGTGCAGGAGCACTTGATGAATTTGGCAAACAAAAATATAACAATGGTCCTCGTCAGGTAACTGTTGCTCTTTTTATTTGTCTAATGAAAACAAATATATATGTTGTATATTTTTTTGCTTTTTTTATTAAGATGTCAACTGCAGATAAAGCATTACGAAGTGGTTATGATGCTATTCGGCAAATGGCGGGACGTATTAATTTATCAAGTCGAATTATTAATCGAGCATTTTCACTTTTTAAACAATGTTATGAAAATAAATGTGTACGCGGTCGTTCTCAAGATGCCATTGTAGCAACATGTATTTATATTGCTTGTCGACAAGAAGGTGCACAACGTACAATAAAAGGTAAAATGAAAAAAAAAAGAATACATACGATATTCTTTATATTTTTTATTTTTCGAATTAATTTTTCTTTGTTTTTTAATAATTTAAGAAATTTGTGCAATTTCAACTAGTGCATCAAAAAAAGATATTGGTCGATGTTTCAAACAAATTGTTAACAGTTTACCGAATTCCAATCGACCTGAATCAATTGATATTAAAAATTTGGTGGTGTGTTTTATTTTATATTCTTTTTCTATATATACAGTGGCTCCGAAAATTATTCATACAGGTGTAATTTCGATTTTTTTCCCTAATGGTAACTCCTATGAAGAATCCAAATAGTGATTTGGATAGAGAAAATTGTTTCCAACAAAGGTCCCAGAAAGATGAAATTCTCATCTTATTCCCCAAAACCAGAATCTCTGGAAAACCGAAAACCTATTTTTTCAGCACCCAGACCCCGAAAATAAAAGTTTGTTTTGATTACACAGGGTGATAGAGCAACGAATTCTCTACAAAATGAGATGTCTCCGAGCTCTCCATGACAATTTTTTACTGAACTGCATCAGTTTTAAGAAACACTCAAAAATGGTATTTTCACCATTTCCTATGGGAAAATCGGACAAAAAGCACTTTAGGGTGTTCCTTAAAACTGATGCAGTTCAGTAAAAAATTGTCATGGAGAGCTCGGAGACATCTCATTTTGTAGAGAATTCGTTGCTCTATCACCCTGTGTAATCAAAACAAACTTTTATTTTCGGGGTCTGGGTGCTGAAAAAATAGGTTTTCGGTTTTCCAGAGATCCTGGTTTTGGGGAATAAGATGAGAATTTCATCTTTCTGGGACCTTTGTTGGAAACAATTTTCTCTATCCAAATCACTATTTGGATTCTTCATAGGAGTTACCATTAGGGAAAAAAATCGAAATTACACCTGTATGAATAATTTTCGGAGCCACTGTATATATATTGTTTTTCTTGTGTTTTATTAAAAGCCTCGATTTTGTAATCAACTTGAACTTCGTCAAGAAAATCTCATTCAAAAAACAGCTGTTTATATTGCTGAACGTGCAAAAGAAATATGCGATATACAAAGTCGTGCACCAGATTCAATTGCCGGTGCATCAATTTATATGGCTTGTGCAGCTGCTGGAGAGAAAAAACCAATGAAAGGTAAATAGATAATTTAAAATAAAACAAAAGTTAAATATATTATTTGATATTTTATTTTATTTAGATATTCAAGTTGCAGCTGGTGTTATGGAAAGTACAATTCGATTAATATATAAGATAATGTTACAAAAAGCTGCTGATTTATTTCCATCTGATTTTGTGTTTAAATGTCCACCGGCTAATTTACCGCAATCATAAAGAATAAAGTGGATTCTTTTTCTTGTTGTCAATGTGTATCTATGGATTTTGCGTGATTTAATTTATAAAAGAAAAAAAAAAAAAAAAGAAAACAAAAGAGTAATATGTCCTGTTTTTGTTCACAACTATTCTTGCTTATTGATGTTTCATGTTATATATATATATATTTAACAAAACAAAATGAAAAAACAGAAATAAAAATATTTTCTAACATGATTTGTTCCATTACTTTAGATGGCGACTTCAAATATAAAATCTGAAGATGAAGAACACGAAAAATGGCAAACTGCTCAAGCGACAACACATAATCCACATAAATGGGCTGATTTCAGTGATGATGAAAATGATGATATAGATAATCATGAATTTTTTGATGCACATGATACTGATTTTCATCAAAATCAATCACCTTCTACAGAAGCTCATGCTGAAGCAGAACTTTTACATAAACGTCTTAATTCACAATTATCTACAAATGAACAAGAAGAAAAGAAATCACCAGGTTAAAATATATTTTTATTTTATTTTCTGATAATATTTTATTGAATTATTTGTCTTTCAGAAGATCCATATTTTATAGATGAAGAATTACTAACTGAACGTGAAGCACTTCTAACAGAAGAAGATAAAGAAGTAATTTCATTTTTTGATCATTTTTGAACACTATATATTGTATTGAAACTAGAGACCTGCGGAGGACTCCGAAACCCGATTCCGACTCCGACGGAGTCGGAGTCGGAGTTGGAGTCGAAGTCAGTTACAAGTTCGACTCCGATATTTTTTTTTTCGATTTACCAAAACTGAATTTTTAACATTAGTAAATAGAAAAATA